CCCCAAAACCCCAAAACCCCAAAACCCCAAAACCCCGTTTTTATTAAGGATTTTTGAAATTATATAATGTTCAGATTATATTCTTTGATCTTGCCTAGTATTCCATATTCGTCAAGCACATCAATAATCTTCTGTTTCCAGGCACCGGCTCTGTTCACAGTAATTGATGTTATTATTCAGACCTCCATGTTTTCAAAGCCCTTTAAATAGGTTCAAAATGCTCGGGTCTTCTTCTCCAAATTCAAGATTGGAAGGAAGGTAGCGAAGGGTTAATATTTGCAGTGTGCTTCCTTCCAGACTAGTCCCAAAATCAGGAATGTGTTGTAAATTAATCTTACATAGAGCCATTGTGAGGGTCTTGAGGTTCTTGAAAGAGGGAAACATCTGTAGTACCTCAGGTTCTCCTAGCACGAGTTTCTTAAGGTATATATCTGTGACGCTTTTAGAAGCGATGGAGATTGATTTCAGAAACTCACTGGTAACTTTTTGAGTATCTTCAACATTGAGCATGAGCTTTTGTACCTTTTCCGGAAACTTGTTACTAAGAAAGTCGATTATGGCGTCAAGCTGTTCTTCTGGTTTAAATATTACGATCTCTTTAAGGTTTGCGCCTCTAATAGAGAAAGAGTGAGATACAGTAAATAAGTCATTTTTCTTGTTATCTTACCTTGGGTGTAACGCCTTTATGAACTTAATCTGCAATGGATCATCTGTTTTTAGGTATAGTACATCATGTTCAGCCTCTTTATTGAAGGAATCTACTCCATGGACTATACATGAATATAATCTCCAAAATTCTTCATGGATTGTGTGATCGTAAGTATTTACACTTTCATCAAATTTTGATATTTGTGCTATGGGCATCTGCAAAGCTTGTACTTGGAAGAGAGAATCCTTCCTTGGGTCATCTACGGTTACAGGTTGCTTCTCTTCTTCGATTGTGATAAGTGGCTGGGAAGGTAAAGCTCCCTCCATCTTAGCAGTCTGATTTTCTTCAATCTTATTGCTTTTAGTCTTAACTTGCTTAGTGTTACTAGGCCTTGAGATACTCTTCATTGGCTTATCCTGGTTGCTTCCTCAACTAATTTGAAGTCTCTTAGATTTATTTGATGTCATATTTTTCGTTTCAAAATTATAATGTTCGCTTCCTGGGTCTTTTTGTTCCTCTTTTATAGTCATGGAGGAAGATTCTTCCTCCCCAGAGCTATGAATAGAATACTTATTGCCACCTTCTTTAGGTCAAATTGAATATGTAGATTCATGCTTTGACTTTGATAAACTGTTCTCATTCTTGGACCTCTTTCGAGAGCTTTCAGAAATAAAATAGTCCGACTGGTTCCTCTTTTTCCCAGAGAGTTGTCAACTAGAGCTATTATTTTGCTCAGGTTGGGAAACTTCATGCAAATCTGAGATGTCTGAAGCAAGATGGCTCTGTTCGGTCTCTGAGAACTCTTCTCCTTTCTCCTCAGTGATAGTATGACCAAGGTATGAGCTTATATTTTCGTTCTGACCCTTTGATTCCTCATGAGCTATTTCAAGGGAAGAACCGTCTTGGTCAAGCAAGTAGCCTAATGCATTCTAGTACTGATCAATTCTCATTTTGATACTTTTCTGTAGTAAGTAAAGTTACAGATTTCTGGCGATGGTTCGCAAGTATTAGTTTTGAACGAGTAAATTAAAGAAGTACTTACGTATCTGACTAACTGATGTCCTTCAAACTCTTTGTCATTAATAATCTTTGTTTCCTGTTTTGACAAATCTATACAAGAGTGATATTTTAAAGACATTCAGCACAGAGTTTATGGATTGTTTAATTTAGATCTCATTTGAAACGATACGTTCAAGTTCAGAGTTACTTTATGATAAATCAAGGGAATTTAGCCTGGCTTAGAAATTATCTCTGTGCATACTTTCAAGAAGGGTGCTGCCTTTGGAAATTTTAGCAAATTTGTTAAATGGGCTGTTTAAATTTGTTCGAGATTATAGAGTTCTTTAAAAATTAAAGATACAACTTATTGGTCATTAAGAGAAAGTTAAGCAAGAGATGGGAATAAATTTTTTGAGCTACTGACCTGTTAAGATATCATTGGAGGGAGCAATTAGGCTTGCTAAAGTTGCATCGTCAAGGTATTTCTCTGATGGACTCTTTTTGTTTTTCATCCAGATTATTGCTCTGGAAAGATACACAGAAAGATTGAGAAGTTTTCTCAGTAAGATTTTGGAAGTAGGAATTGTGTAGCCATTTTGAGCAAAATGCTTTTCAATCTTATTCTCTGAAGGAGAGCCTAAGCACTGCTTGAATTCCTCGATGATCTGCTCCACTATTGATTCAATGTATATTATATCCTCTCCTTCGACAGAATATTCCAGAGAGAATTGTTCAAATTTTGTGTGTTCTGGATCAAATCTGTGGACTATTCAGAGATATTCCTCTGATAATTTTGAGCAAAATAATGCTTTCATAGTACAATTTTCCATGTGACACTGTTTGTATAGACAATTCTTGTTAGATCTAAGGAAATGAGTTAACTAAAATAACAACAAACCACCACACCATCCCAAAAATTTCCTTATTTCTCCATAAAAATTAATTCTAATCCCTAACCTCCCCAAAATCCCAAACCTCATTAATCCTAACCTTCTGTTTCATTCAACCCCCCTGGACCCCAAAGCCTCCTCCAAAGCCCCTTCAGTGCCCTAAAGCCATCTTTCTCGGACAAAAATATCTTCTTATCTCCAAAAGTCCTTGTCGAAACTAGTACATTCTCACTCACATTTGTGCCGGCTTGTTTAACAAAGTAGAAGGCCACTGGCCTGCACTTACTGGGAGTCAGCTGGGGCAAGATGGCTTAGATGCAGAGGAAATGTGAGGAGAGGAGTGCCAAGAAGTTGTTTCTCGTCAAAAGTTGTGCTTTGGGGTTCAAAGTTGAACGGATGATTAGGACAAAGTTGGATAAGCTCTCTGATATGGTCAGTAAATCTCCCCCAAATACATTCTATATAGTCATAGGTAGTACTGCTGGAGCTCAAGTCTTTTAAAACTTCTTGAAAGAGTCCATCTCTTGTAGTTGCCCTGAAATATTCCTCTGAAAGGACTCCTTCTGATTGTACCTGGTCGCTCTTTAGACTTGCTGACTTGCGCTCATACTCAGGTGCCAGTCGATGATGAATGCAGAGGGCAATCTCATCTTCTTGTAAGTCATAAAGAGCTCGTAGAGGTCAGCCTTTGTACTCACACTTATCATTATTTTCCATTCTCAAAAATTTTAAATTAATTTAAAGGATACCTTCAGTTTTCCTAAAAGAAAGGGGTTTTGGGGTTTTGGGGTTTTGGGGTTTTGGGGTTTTGGGGTTTTGGGG